ACTTTCTTCCCCCAAAAAAAAATTTCGGCCAACGGCTAGCTTTCTCCTCCGTTACAATGTCCTGGAAAACTGAAAACACCTCACAACAAGATTGGTTGAATCCGTCATTCTCTTCATTAATGAGTCTGTTTACAACTTTCTTACTGATGAATTTCTGATACCTTCAATGGCAGCAGAGTGCGATTTAAACTCACCAAGGACAGAAGTCGGAGCAGCCTCTGGTTTCACCACCTCATATCAATCCATGCTAGCAGCACTAAATCAAACTGAGAAGATGGAGAGCAAGCAGATCTATTCAGCACCAACTTCTGCATCAGATGAATGTTCAAATTGTAATTGCATGCAATGAAAATGGAGTTTCTCAAAAGAATTGTGAGCTCTTACAGAACGTTGTTTATTCATCATCTGCTGTCATTTCCACTCGGATGGAGGAAAAGGACTCTGAAAGACATAGATCTAAATAAGACGCCTCAGCAAAACCACCTAAACGAAGAAGAAACACACCACAAGTACTCTGAAGTCGGCCGCTGCAGCTAACATTAACTCTGAGGACATTCCAACTGGGAAGAGGAAGTATTTACGCAAAAAAGGCCTTATGGAATCAGCAACTGAACATGCAGATTCAACAAAGGAATCTGGCTCAACTGCTGGAACTCTAGAGAAGAGAAAGCATGTATGGAAGAGAAGCCTGAAAGAATCGATGGATACAGCAAACAAATCTGCTCCTGGTGCTGGGACAACTGCAACGGGGAAGCACATGCACGAGAGCAACCAGAAAGAATCAACGACTTTGCAAGGAGACTGTACAAGAGGCTCTGATCCTAGTGCTCAAGCAACTCAACAAGTAGATCGTATGAAGGAGTCTGATCCCCGTCCTGTGCCTTATCTAAGATCCTGCAGAAGAGTATTGAATTTTGACTTTGAAGACACTGGAAATGGAAGTCCAGTTGATATATTTAATCACCAAGCGACGGTAGAGGGAAGTAAGTCCTTTGAATCTCCAACCCTGGGATTTCCCGATGTGGGATACAGTAGATTTAGAACAAAACTCACTACACAGACTACTCAACGGGGTGGATTGGCTGTGGAAAACCAGCAACTACAAGGTGAATGTAGTCACCCCGTTTTCTTGAAGAAAATGAAGCCAATTGATTACGTGTCCCTGCCAGGTATAACAGCTGCTATGGCCTCCCAACTTCAAGCAAAGGAGAGGATGGAAAATATAAATGCCACGACAAGGAACGTAAACATGTACAATGCTGATTTGAGCCAAAAAAATCTACAGAAATGAGTACACTTCCAGACAGCAAGCCTTTCAATTTGTTTCGCAAAGGAGAAGCAACTGGCAAAATATTGATGGGACCAAGGAACTCATGTTCGAGATACGGCCTCAATGAGTAGCAGCAATTTTTTCCTACTCTAACGAAGGTAGGGGATCCAAGGGAGACAACTATCATGCCATTGAGCAGGGATAATTTAGCAGAGAAGGTTCAGTGAGTTCATTGCTATCCCAAGGCATATTTGAAGAGGAAGAAGGTTATACGAATGGAAGCAGCAATGGGGAACCTTTTCTATGGGTTTAGAAAAGAAAGATGGTTGAGGATGAAACCTGTGCATATATTTGTGGAATTCAGTGCCCAATGTTACATGCTTCAGGACTATTTCAAACAAAAGACACAGACGGTGTTAATGAAGGACAATTTACATCACGCCGAACAGCTAACCCCCATTTTCAAAGTGATAACATAGACAACAGAAAAAGTGGTGTGTTCAGAGTAATATCATAAGAGACGGGTACTTTACAGCAAGAGGTGTAACTTCTTCGAAGCAAAACACGTTTTCCCAACTGCATTCAGGCATGGAAAAAGTAGGAAACACAAATGTGTCTGCTCTGGTCCAAAACTTAGCCACAATCAAGAATCGAAATCTTCTTCTACCAACTACCCTTGAGAAGGTCCCTACACCTCAAATTGGATTGTTCGGAAAAAGATCTCATACCAATGTTTCAATAAAGAAGAAAGGAGAGCCTGGTCTATCTTTTTTTTTATTATAAAAATGGGAGACCTAGTTAAAAACCCCTTCATACCCATCAAGCTATGAAGATAGTTTAACGGACAATGGAAGGAGGAAAAGAGTACCTCGAAATTTTATTCCTTAAATACCAAGTACATCAAGAGTTCATTTCAGTCATACACAACCAAAATACAACCTAAAAAATAACCAACAATATGTTGACATCTCATCAAAAACCATATCCCTAACTTAGCAAGACTTGCCTCACCTTACAAAACAACCCAGATATCCTATACACAGAAAAACAGTAGGCTGAACTACAAACAGTTACGAATCAAGGCATGTCAAATGAATTCAATTTCTAAGGAAATTATCTTAGCTAGGAGAAGCTCCAGTAGTACTTATTGTAAAACCTTTGCTGCACATTCAGAAGTACTTGAAAAAATTTGCAGGACTTCTTGGACGACTGGTTAGAGACCATGAAAGAAATTTTATGGAATGGCTAAGAGATGTTCCCCCTGGTAAAGTAAAGTAAGCCATCTCAAAGTTAACCATTAATTCTTTAACATTATAGTTATCATCTTATAAATAACAAAAATCTTCATGGCATCAACTAATCCAGAGTGAATAACCACTGATCTCCTGCATCTTTGATGTTAATGTTCATGGCATCTTAAAATTGCTTATGCTGCAGGGTTTATCTTTTAAGCATATGGGATTGGGGCTGAGAAGTGTGGAGTGTGTTCGACTTTTAACCCTTCACCATATTGCTTTTCCAGTAATACTTGAAAAAAATTTACTTACAATTCTAGTTTGACAAGATTATCAGAACCACTCTTCCAATTTCTAACATTTACATTTTCTGAAGGTTGACACAAATGTTGGACGAATAGCAGTTCGGCTAGGGAACCCATGTTTAAAATTGGCAATGGTGTAGATGCTTCTTTCCCCTGTGTTTAAAATTGGCACACACACCAGGCAGGGAACCCATGTCTCCACACAAGTAGGGCCTAATGGTGGCAACAGTGAACCTGTCATTAAAGAGCCGGCAACACCAGAACCAGAGCACACAGAAGTAACGCAGAGTGATACTGAAGATGCATTCTATGAGGATCCTGATGAAATTCCCACAATAAAACTGAACATGTAAGAGTTCACAGCTAACCTACAGATTTACATGCAGGAGAATATGGAACTCCAAGAAGGAGACTTGTCAAAGGCTTTAGTAGCTTTGAATCGTGAAGCTGCTTTTATCTCTACTCCAAAACTGGAGAATGAGATCGGGCTACGGACAGCGCACTATGATCTTCCTAACCCAAAATTTTCAGACCACCTTTCAAGGTAAGTTTGTGTGTTCATACTGGAAGCACAAATAAACATGAAAACGGAAAGTATAAGTAATTTCCCCCACTTTCCTACCGTGCAGCTCTGCCTTTATATCTCTAGCAGCAAAGTTTCCTTTGATGTCGTCAAACAAGACAGACTGCAATGCAGATGGGGAAAAATACTAATCGAAGAACCAGAAGTCTTTGAATTGAATCCAGGTGAAACCATCAAATGGCATGATTGCCATTCAGTCATCAACTTAACAGCCAAAGCTCCATGATGAGGAACAGCGAGTATTTAGGTGTAGAGAGAACAAGCTTCACTGAAACATATAGTCAAAGCTTGGAGGAAGAAGTACTATCATCGCAAGGTTCTTTTGATTCCTCAGTTGTTCAAGCGAACAGATGATTCAGAACCTACTCAGAAACAAAAGATCCTCCTATGAGATGCAAGTTACTCAACATTCATGGTTCAACTCTTGACATGATAAAAACAGTGCCTCATTTGAGGAATATTACTATTTTGCTAATGGAGCTCACTGTCTCATGAGGGATTAAAATATCTCCGCATGCAAGAGTCTCTATGCTCTTAGTGAGCCTATGCTTCCGAGAATGTCTTCCAGAGATTTTCGGACAAAGACATAAAGTTAACTTTTATACTAAATAAGGGCTATTATCTTCCGCTTCATGGAGATGCTATTACTCCTTTTATTGGCGCCTGGATGCATCCTTTTATTGTTTGAATTTCTTCAAATATGTTGAATTGACTTCTCTATGATCCAGAGAGTTGAGATTCATCCGCTTAAGCGGGAGCGTTGAAATGTTTTTTTCCAACGCAGACATGATTCCGTCTGGTTCTAATTGTCGTGTTAAGATGCCTCTGCACCCACCGCAGTACGTTGTCACAGATTAACTAACATCCTTTACCTGGTCGAAAAAAGCATCGAGATACTTTACACTCTTCTCAAACTACATGATAGTCCAAGTAATGATTGAGATATTAACATATAGTGATACGTTAGTATTACCATTAATTTAAAATCTATCTTTTGATATAATTTAAAAAGACTGTTAAGTAACCGCAACAAAATCATATGAAATACAACAATAATAATAAAACTTTATTCCCATATGCAATGAGGTAAGGGGAAGGTAGGGTAGTAGGCTGTCCCCACGTCAGATTGAGAGTAGCTTCCGTGGAAGACTTCCGACATTCAGCAAATTAAAAATAAAGATAAAATACAATGCATGTATAAATAAATAAATAAATAAATAAATAAATACATAGTTGGACACTCTTCATATGCAGTCTTCGTATGCGCGTTTGTAATGAGAAGTGATCCCTGAAAATAAATCTCTGCGTAAAAATATCTGCATATAGTCAGAAACGTAAGACCCGGCTAAATTTAAAAAGAGAAAACATGAAGAGTAGGATACACAGAAGTCAACGATAGCAAATTACGAGAAAAGAATTAAGTCAAAAGGGTTAAAACTTAAATTGAGGTTCCACTATCTAACTCTAATCCTTCATAAATTTCAATGACAAAAAATATATAAAAAGTAAAGATCATACGAATAATTTGGTAAAATACGTAATTTATTAAAAAAAAACTTTAAAATCGTGAATACATATCACGCCTAGTGGTCCATTTACTCCGCAATTATTGCTTCGACTTTTTCGGCAATTTGCTCTCGTCCTCCATTATCGCACCTACTACCAATACTATACTTCCCCGGAGTTTTTTTAAATGGATGATCGCCGGAGACCTTCAAAGGCACACCGACCAGATCGGTCGGATCCGTCACTGGCACCGGAGTCAACTGTCTCCGCCAAGGCATCGGATGCACTCCCGCTCCCTCTTTACGTCACCAACGCTATTTTCTTCACACTTTTCTTCTCGGTGGCGTACTATCTTCTTCTCCGGTGGCAGGACAAGATTCGTAACTCCGTTCCCCTTCACATCGTCACTTTCTGTGAACTGGCTGCTATTCTCTCTCTCGTCGCCTCCTTTATATACCTCCTTGGTTTCTTTGGTATCGACTTTGTCCAGTCATTCATTGTACGCGCATCCAATGAAGCTTGGGACCTTGCCGACGAAGAAAGCGATGTTGTTGACGATCATCGTCACCGGCTGCTGATTTGCTCTCCCTCTGTCTTCGACCATCTGATTCCGACTTTCTCCTCCGCGGAAGACGAAGAAATCGTGGATTTAGTTATCAAAGGAACAATCCCTTCATACGCTCTCGAAGAGAAACTTGGAGACTGCAAAAGAGCGGTTCACATTCGAAGGGAGGCGTTGCAGAGAATCACTGGAAGGTCATTGCAAGACTTACCTTTAGATGGCTTCGATTACAACTCTATTTTGAAGCAGTGCTGCGAAATGCCGGTGGGATACGTGCAGGTTCCAGTGGGGATTGCAGGGCCATTACTGCTCGATGGTTTTGAGTACACTGTTCCAATAGCTACCACTGAGGGCTGCTTGGTTGCAAGCACTAACCGAGGATTTAAGGGTATATATGCCTCTGGTGGAGCCGTCAGCACCATTTTGAAGGATGGTATGACGAGAGCTCCGGTTGTCAGGTTCGCCTCTGCTGCTAGAGCTTGCCATCTCAAGTTTTTCCTCGAGGATCCTTCAAATTTTCAGACATTGGCCAACGAATTCAACCAGTAACATAAACAAAACTTAAATCTTATGATTTCTTCTTATTTTTTTATGATCGGTAAATTTCCTTCATTGTTTTCGTTGCTTAGGAATTTCGATTTATGAATTTATTTTCTTGCAACCTCATCATATGCGACTCTGTGTATATGTTTGCGATATGTTCATTTCAATTTAGCTATGAATCATTATGAAAGTAACTTGTTTAGATGATCAGACATTCGATCTGTAAATGTTTATGCAGTGCAGGTAAGGTTAATTCTAGCCCCATTTTAGCTGATCTGCTTTTATATTTCATATTAAGCATGTAGAAAAGCCTTCTCCTGCAACGGAAAAGGTCGGTGGGGATCAGAGATGTTTTAGTTTCGTATGCGTCCGTTGAAGAAGTGATATGTGTTCTGTTGGTTGCCAGGTCAAGTAACTTTGCAAGACTTCAGGGTGTCCAATGTTGTGTTGCTGGCAAAAATCTCTACATGAGATTTAGCTGCTTCACCGGAGATGCTATGGGGATGAACATGGTTTCCAAGGGGGTTGAAAACGTCCTTAAATACCTTAAAAGCGATTATCCGGACATGGATGTTATCGGTATCTCCGGTAAGTTAATTTCTTATATGTTTCCATCTCCCAGTTCCATTAATTGTTAGCGAATCTTGCTATCTCATGTCTAGAAAAAAAAATTGACTACTTTTTTGCAGTTCTAAACAATTCTTCTATGCGTCTCATATTAGGGAACTATTAATTTGACATCCAGTAATTATCATGGTGCTAAACTCTGGTTGCCTTGATTGTTTCATTATGTTTATTTGCTAGGAAACTTTTGTTCGGACAAGAAACCTGCTGCTGTCAACTGGATTGAAGGGCGAGGCAAATCGGTGGTATGTGAAGCAATTATTAAAGAAGAGGTACTGAAGAAGGTTTTCCGGACCGATGTTGCTATGCTTGTAGAGCTCAACATGCTAAAAAACCTTGCCGGTTCTGCTGTTGCCGGTGCTCTCGGTGGATTTAATGCTCATGCAAGCAACATTGTCTCCGCTATCTTCATAGCAACCGGACAGGATCCGGCTCAAAATGTCGAAAGCTCTCATTGCATTACCATGATGGAAGCCGTTAATGATGGGAAAGACCTTCACATATCTGTGACTATGCCTTCCATTGAGGTGGGAACCGTAGGGGGTGGCACTCAACTTGCATCACAGTCTGCATGTCTGAATTTGCTTGGGGTGAAGGGTGCAAGTAAAGAATTGCCAGGCTCGAACTCGAGGCTCTTGGCAACAATTGTGGCCGCCTCGGTTCTGGCCGGGGAACTTTCTTTGATGGCTGCAATTGCCAGTGGTCAGCTTGTCAAGAGTCACATGAAATATAATCGATCCAGCAAAGACGTATCCAAAGTTGCATCATAAGATCAAAGGTCGCGTCGAGCTTAAAGAACTCTAACAGGCCACCAAGTTTATGTTGCAGTGCTAGGAAGAGGGTGGATAGAAGTATGACATTCATGTGCATTTTTCCGGGATAAGAACATCTACCGAATCATCGATCTTTTACCGATCCGGAAGTGTTCCCCACTGAAAACGTCCACTCTTCTTCTATCCGTGTGGATCTTAATTGCCCATTCTGTGTATAACCGATCTGGAACTAAGATGTATGGCTTTGGAACATTTGGTTTTTGCGTGTGTATGTATTGTGGAAAGGATTAAGAACTCGCTAAAGAATTCAATTGACTACGCAATGATTTATTGCGGTCAATGTGAGGTAATTTATTTCAATAAACGTAGTTCTCATTTGTTGTTAATATGTAAAAAATTGGAATATGAATTACATAATATATAATGAATGTGTAAAAAAATTATGGAAAATATCGGGAAAAAATAACATAAAACAAAATTATTGATAAGTGTTGGTGGACTTAAGTCATATTAAGATATTTAAAAAGTTAGGTAAGAATAGGGATAATTATGGGTCAAGTGGAAGTTTTAGTTCATCTGCATTCAACTTGAGTATAATATCTCTCCACCCATTACTTGACTCGAGTTTAAGAAAATTTCATCCGATCTGAAATTTGATTCAAATTTTAAGGTAAAAACTCACATCAGATTATATATAGTTTTAAAAGTTTTCCTTTGGATTTTTTTAGTGTTAGTATTAAAAATTAATTAATATTTTAATTAATCATATCACATAAAATAAAAAAAAATGATCTTTTTTTATGTTTGTATAAGACCAGTCACTTTCCAAAGAATCTTCACTAGTCAACTACTAACAAAATGACCTGATATACTATGTCTACTTATATTTAATTTACGTTTTAATTAATGCGTCTTTTAAATATCTGAAAATATAAGTTTTAAAAGCACTCTCTTCGAAATTTTTTAGGGTAATAACATTTATTTCGTTTTAGTGTCAACTATTATTTTTTTAAATCAAACATAATATTATATTTTGATTTTATTTTAATCATATACTGTTAAAATATTAATCTAACTAGTAATGTAACATTTAAAAAATTAGTGATGATATATCATTACCTTATAATGATACATCAATATTATTGTTATTTTTTTACGGTAAGTGGCTAAAATGAAATCAAAACGTAACATTAAGTATGATTTGATGTAATGTATAATTTTATGTATCCATAATAATAAAAAATGACATGTCCTTAAAAACAAAAATGAAAATTTAATTAATATTTTATTTAATGATGAAATATATGTTGCGGAAGACGACTATCGGATAGAGCAAAATCGTAATTGATAATTTGAGAAAATAAAAATGAAGATAAAGAAGACATAAAATTTACGTGGAAAACCCCTAAATAATATAGGGTAAAAACCATGGGCAACAGTCTCTCGATGTACCAAGGAGAAAACAATGATAATTCTCTCTTGATAAAAAGGAGAAAATAACTTTCAAGAAACTCTCTAAATTTTCTAGTATTAGAAGAAAGCTAGAATGCTTTGGGATGGTTTTGAAGCTAAATGAGTTAGGGTATTTATAGTTAAAGCTTAAGGACTAGTCTTGAAAATACCCTAAAGTACAATGACTAAATGTGAGATTTTACCATTACCAAAAAATCAATAATTTTGATGAATCATTATGCCAACTAATGCACTTTATCATTGCTGCCAACTAATGCACTTTCGGTGCATTATTGAAACCAATTTGGTGCTTGCATGGCTGTCAACTTTCAATAATCTCTCACTTGAAGATTTATTTGGAACACTCATATCTTCACACCATTCTTTCTACCTTGTACCATCATGTTGCTTACTCTAACAGGCCACAAGAGGATCGACACCAAGTAAATTTATCAGCATTGATCGCATTCGTCATGAAATCTGCTATGTTATCTTTGGTATGGATCTTCTGCATATCTATCGCCCCTTCTTCTACCTTTTCACGAATGAAATGGTACTGAACTCGTATGTGCTTTGTCATTGAATGAAATGCTGGATTCCTTACTAAATGCAAGACGCTTTGACTGTCACAAAATAAAGAGACATACTCTTGATTGTGTCCAAGCTCCTCCAATAGCATTTTTAACCAGATTGCTTCTTTACTGGCTTGTGTAGCTGCTACATATTATGCCTCTGTTGTGGATATAGCCACAACTGATTGTAATTTTGAAACCCAGCTTACAGCTCCACCAGCAACTTTGAACACATATCCTGTAGTAGATTTGCTTTTATCCAAATCCCCTGCATAGTCAGAATCGACATACCCATTGATAAGTAAGTTTGATCCTCCGTAACATAATGCAATATTTGAGGTCCCTTTGATGTATCTCAAGATCCTCTTTATTGTATTTCAATGCTCTTTGCTTGGATTTGCCATGTACCGACTAACCACTCCCACTGCTTGTGATATGTCTGGTCTTGTGCATATCATAGCGAACATTAAACTTCCCACTGCCGATGCATACGGTACTCGAGACATCTCCATCCTCTCTTCTTCACTGCTAGGACTCATACTGGAGGATAATTTGAAGTTAATAGGAAGAGGGGTAGAAATTGGCTTACAATCTTGCATGCTGAATCATGACAAGATCTTCTTTAAATAATTCTTTTGTGAAAGCTAAATCTTCCTATTACTTCTGTCTCGGTGAATTTGCATCCCTAGAATCTTGTTTGTTGATCCCAAGTCCTTCATTTCAAATTCCCTAGCCAGTTTTGCCTTCAATTCTTCAATATGATCTTTGTTGGGTCCTGCAACCAACATGTCATCCACATACAACAGTAATATAACAAAATCGTTATCACCAGACCTCTTGAAATAAGCACAAGGGTCTGCATTAAGTCTGTTGTATCCAAGGCACATAATGAAGGAATCAAATCTCTTATACTAACACCTCGGCGCTTGCTTTAGACCGTACATATATTTGTTCAACCTGCAAACCTAGTTCTTCTTTTCTTTTTCTTCAAAATCTTCAGGCTGGAGCATGTAAATCTCTTATTCAAGATTTCCATGAAGAAAAGCTGTTTTAACATCTAGCTGCTCTAAATGTAAGTTCAATGTAGCACACATTGCCAAAACTACTCGAACTGTTGTTAGTCGAACCACAGGAGAAAATATTTCATTAAAATCAATATCTTCTTTTTGAGCATATCCTTTGACCACCAGTCTTGCACGATACCTCTCCACTTGATCGTCACCATTTCGCTTGATTTTAAAGACCCATTTGTTACCAATTGGCTTCCTTCCTTGTGGTAGTGGCACAAGGTCCCATGCATTATTTTTATGAAGGGCTTCAATTTCTTCTTGCATCACCATCATCCACAGTGAAGCATCTGAGCTGTTTATTGCCTCTTGGTATGTTGATGGCTCACCGTCCTCTGTTAAAAGACAGTATGCAATATTACCTTCTATAACATAATCTGAGTGCCAATTGGGACGTCTTCTCACACGATCTGATTTACGAGTTGTTGGAGCTTCAGAATTCTCTGGTCTTGTTCATCATGTGCTGGTTCTGCTTCAGAAGAATCTCCTTGTTCAAACTCTTTTTCCACATGTATCTGAGTAGTCTCTGACTTTTCAGCGCTACCATATTATTCTTTCTTTGTAGTTTATCTTCTACAAAGATAACATCTCTGCTGATGATCACTTTGCGGGCAGTGGGATCCCACAAGCGATACCCCTTTACACCATCAGCATACCCCAAGAATTTGTATTTCCTGGATTTTGGATCCAACTTTGAAATTTCTTGGGAGTTGTACATCACGTACACTATACTTCCAAATACATGGAGGTTTGAATAATCAGCTGGTTTACCAGTCTACATCTCCATTGGTGTCTTCAGCTCTATTGCAGTTGATGGAGCTCGATTCACCAAATAACAGGCGGTATTGACTGCTTCTGCCCAGAATGATTTTTCTAGGCTTGCATCCCTCAACATTGTTCTTGTTCTTTCTAACAAGGTTATATTCATCAGCTCTGCCACTCCATTTTATTGAGAAGTGTTCGCCACTGTGAACTGTCTTTTGATGCATTCTTTCCTACAAAAGTCATCAAATTCTTCACTTGTGTATTCTCCTCCATTATCTGTTCTGAAACACTTGATCTTATTTCCAGAATCAAGTTCCACCCGCGCCTTGAAGTTTTTGAAAGTTGAAAACACGTCTGACTTCTTCTTAATAGGGTATACCCAACATCTCCTAGAGTAGTCATCAATAAATGAGACAAAGTATTTTGCTCCGCCTAGGGATGTAACTGGTGCTTGCCATACGTCAGAGTGAAAAAATTCTAGAACACTTTTGCCTCTAGAATTTGATTTGTTGAATTTCAATTGGTGATGCTTACTTGTTATGCAATGCTCACACAAAGGGAGTGTTACCTTTATTAAGTCTGGAAGTAGCTTTTGCTCCACAAGGACTTTCATTCCTTGTTATGAAATGTGTCCAAGTTTCTGATGTCATAACATTGCAGAATCCGAACTACATGAGGCAACATAGGCTTCTGCTTCTAGAAAAGTCTCTCCCTTCAGCATATACAAGTTTGATGCTATCTTTTCACCTTTTAGCACCACAAGCGCTCCACAGAACACCTTCATGATTCCTTTCTGTGTTTCAATCTTGCTTGCATTATTATCCAACAATCCGTAAGATAATAAATTTTTCTTCAGGCCTTTCGCGTGCCGCACATCTCGAACAACTTTAATTGTTCCATCATACATCTTCAATTTGATGGTTCCCACGCCAATGATCTCTAAGGCATGATCATTGCAACTAAACACAGATCCTCCTGAGACAGGTTCATAATGATGGAACCATTCTCTTCTTGAGGTCATGTGATATGTTTCTCCTGAATCAATGAGCCATATATCTGCAAATCTTTTTTTACCTTCCACGGTGGTTGACACTTCACAGCATATAACATCTCCATCATCTGAAGTGTTTGCGGTATTGCCTTGTGGATTGGAGTTTTTATTTAGACTCCAACAATCCTTTTTCAAGTGACCCTTCTTTCCACAGTTGTAGCACTTTAAATTCTTCTTGCTCCTCAAATTCGATCTACCATGTTTGTGACTGCTACTTTGGCCACGTTCTGTTGACCTCCCTCTCATCGTTGTCAACGCTTCTGCTTGTTGCAGATTTACTTGTCCATCTTCCTTGTTTTTGTGCCGATTTTCTTCTTTTAGAATAGCAGCTGCAACATCATTGAAGACTAGACTGGTGACATTACTGTTTGTCAAGTTGATAATGAGTTGATCATATGAATCCGGTAGACTTTGAAGTAGAAGTTCAGCA